GTGGATACTTATCCCACTTATATATATCCGTTTTCCTTTGCAGCGCTTTGAGTCAAGCTGAACAGATTGAACAGATATATAAGAACAGATTCATGGAAATGGCATAGCCAAAGAAATACAAAAACTATCATGAGGTCGTGACATTTTAGAACATTCGGGCCGTTGTGCTCCTGACAAGTTTGCAGCCAGCTATTTAGAGGGCTAGAGCATAGGGCTGCAGTTGTAGCAGAACACATGCCAGAGTGAGTGGCAAAAAGGATCCAAAGGCCCACCCAGCAACAGATGGTTTTTGCACGCATTCCAGCCGGCAGACTGTTTCACAATGTTTCCCATTTAGGGGCAACCAGCTTTGCCGCAACTACTGGAGAACATGCTGGGTCCATGCAATGCGACATCAGTGTCACAAGACGCGCTTTCATTGATTTCGACATTCCTCAGCAATGAGCCGGAATGCCAATGGGCTGCCAGCGACTGGATTGGCATGATGGAATCAGATGCTTGGATGAGCTTGGATGGGTGTGATGGAACTCTCATGCTTTGCCGCTGCCTGTCACGACTTTAAGACATGTTTTCGGTCGTTGTAGTCGGTGTGGCCAAGCTTACAACGGTGGGCCCAAGGTGTTGAGGCCCTCCACCAAGAAGCTGATAGCATCCAGCAGTGGTTGGCCTCCAGCGCAGGCCACAATAGAAAATAGATGAGAAACAGGAATTGCTCAGTTGGAGAATCAGCGATGTGCATAACATGTGGCCTTTTTCCCAACAAACCTTGACAACCTGTCAGCAACCCAGACCCCGGAAAGTCAAGAAGGCACAAAACATGTGAATGAGTGGACTGAGTAGGCACGTGCACACACAATACTCCAAAGGAGTAGACAACTAGACAACCATAGACAGTTAGTTGCATAACATGAAGTACTTATCAATAATATTCAAGAATCACATTTCTTTGTGACAATTCTGACAGGCCCCGCGGGTGCAGACAGCGTGCACCTCAGAGATTTGTCCAGAATTTGTGAGCAGCTCCTAAACTGCTAAGAGTCATGTCAACACTTCGCATTAAATAAAGGCGTCCACATAGGATGTAGCAAAGTGCCTTGCTAGTAGTAGCAAGAAGCTAGTAGTAAGGCACCTTGCTACTGGTATATTGGCTGCCACTGGACATTGGAGAGAACCCAAGTGTCACGTCTCCAGCTTCCTAGGTGACAAACGTCGAAGATCTGCTCAAGACGTGGCAGGCAATGGTGTTTCTCTGTTTGGGGCAGAACACCCACCTTCAAACAAGGTGAGGCCGCTAGGAGGGTGTCAATCCAGATCAATCAAACGAACCCTTATCCTTCAGCGCCTCGCTTTGGCTCTCTGACATGCAGGAACTCTTGCCAACTTGGAGGGTCAGATTGCCCGCTTGCGGCAGCAGCTTTCCGTGCCCGAGGAGTCCTCCAAAGTGGGTTGGTGAGCTTGTTTACTTCATGTGTCTTACTACTAGTCGCAAGTGCTCCGCTACTAGTAACAAGGGCATTACTACTAGTAGCATCCTAGTAGTAATGCATTAATGGAGTTGTTCAGGAGAGCCTGGGAAGTTCAGCGACCGAGGTGCAGGGATTGGCATTGACATTGATAATATAAGTGATTTTACTTTACCTTGCATATATACATATAAATATATACAAAATTATTTAAGGGCTTACGCCCGACAGCCGGCCAGGGGCCCAAGGAAAAGGATGGTGGCAGTGGCGGTAGTGTTTGTGTCGTGTTTGTGGTGGCAGTGGTTGTGGTGGTTGTTGGTGGGGGTGTGGTTCTGCTTGTGGTGACTGTGGCGGTCGTGGAGGTCGTGGTAGGTGAAGTGGCAGTGGCAGTGGTTGGTGGGGTTGTGGGTGTTGTAGTGGGGGTAGTGGGTGGTGGCGACGTTGTGGTGGGTGGGGGTGGTGTGGTCATGGTGGTGGTGGTCGTGGAGGTAGTGGTGCTGGAGGTGGTTTTGCGATGGTGGTGGTGGTGGTTGCGGGTGTGGTCGGACCAAGTGGCGAGTCCACGGGCGTTCTGCGTCGTCGGTTCAACGCTCTGGAGACAAGAGGCCCTATGCTAGACACCATCCATCGTAGACGCTGGCTCTGTCGTGCAACACCTGGACTTGGGGGTCTCGATACCAGTTTGGCAGCACGCGTGTTGAGCGGCACATCCGGCGCCCAGTCGTTTCGAAACTGGTGTAGGTTCGGCATGTCGCAGCAGCAGCCGTTTCGAGATCGTTTTGGATGCGTTGAGCTGGAGTAGAGATCTCTACTGTGAGCGCAGAAATATTGTCAACACCCATGGAGCTGCATATGCCTGAGGTCGAAAAAAAAGTCCAAACATAGGTGAGCTTGCTCGAAGCAGAGGGGTCATGAGGGTGGAGGTCATAGTTTAGACACGGTCGTAGTTTGTAGGGTGAGCTGGCTCGCCTGGAAGGAGCCAACATCCATGGACCAGCACCGGACGCTGTTGGAAGTAAGTTGCTTTTCAAAGAAAGGGCAGTGGGCTCGCCGCAGCACGGTCACGAGGGAGGAGGCGATTGTTGAGGTGCCGCAACGGGCTGAGCTCACAGGCAATGTAAAGGTGAGCTTGCTCGCCACAGGGGCTTGGGTGCGGAAAAGCTGTGAGGGCGTGTGGTCGGGCGTGTCATGATTGAGGTTCAAGGCCGCGGTCTCCAAAGAGAGGTGGTCAGGTAAGTTTCTCCAAGGACTTTCTCCCAAGCTCGTAGCCACTGAAGACGGGGCAACATCATTCGCACCACGAACGAAAGTGTCCAGGTACGGATATATCTAATCAGAGTGGTCAGTGTCAATCGTTAGCGTTTACCCGAAGTTGGAAAGTTGCATGAACTTCACGTTCTTTCAAAGCTCAAGTGAATTGTGTAATGTCGACCTTTCACCTGGACGTGATAGGGAAGGACCACCCGGAGCTTCGCGCATGGGTACGTTGGGGCTTAGCCCAAGCGGGTCCGACTCAAGACGGACGGAGGTAAGTAGGCGGTAGACACATCGGGTCGGAGTTTGTCAGTGCACGAAGATAGACAGTACGGTATATCAATCGGATAGTGACACAGTGTTTGCACGACCCGACTTGTGACTTGGCCGTGACGGGGGCGGACCACCAGGAGCTTCGCTCATGGGTACGTTGGGGCTTAGTCCAAGCGGGTCCAACGCCAAACGGCCGGAGGCAAGTAGGCGGTAGACGAATGTGGTCGGAGGTGCGAGCAAGCGTCACGCACGCCTAGAACACAAAACACAAAGGAGGAAGCAGAGGCGCGTCGTCTGCAAAGTTACCACACGTCCAACGCTTGGATTTTGTCAGAGAGCCTTGTCCGACCTGTTGCAAGCTCTGCGTCGGCGGTTGAACTCTCTGGAGACAAGAGGCCCCAGGCCAGACACCTTGCCTCGTAGACGTTCGCTCTTTCGTGCAAGACCTCGTCTCCAGTCTCTCGATACCATCCCTGCAACACGCGTGTTTTGTGACACATCCGGTCCCCTGTGCACCGCAATCGTTTCGAAACCACTCTAGGTTCCGCACATGTCGCAGCAGCTCGAAAAAGAAAAAAAGTGCAAACATAGGTGAGCTTGCTCGCCTCCGACGGGTCATGAGTGAGAGGGCATTGTCGGTCATGAGAGAGCTTGCTCGCCATAGGGGCGTGGGCGCCGAAAAGTTTTGAGGGCGTGTGGTCGTGCGTGTCGTGACCGAGGTTCAAGGCCGCGGTCTCCAAAGAGAGGTGGTCAGGTAAGTTTCTCCAAGGACTTTCTCCCAAGCGCGTAGCCACTGAAGACGGGGCAAAATCATTCGCGCCACGAACAAAAGTTTCCAGGTCAAGTCATCATACGGTATTCCAGCAAAAGAACGGATTATCGTGTTTGTTCCTGTTCCTGTCGAACAAGCATCGTTTATCCTCGACTTGTGTTAACATGGCTGCTTAATTTGGGATTTATCCAAGAGTCGCATATGAGAAACGGTGCAAGGCGCCCATTTGTTCGGGGCCTCAAGAGCGCAACGTTTCAGTATTTGTACTGTCGACCTTTCACCTGGACGTGATAGGGAAGGACCACCCGGAGCTTCGCGCATGGGTACGTTGGGGCTTAGCCCAAGCGGGTCCGACTCAAGACGGACGGAGGTAAGTAGGCGGTAGACACATCGGGTCGGAGTTTGTCAGTGCACGAAGATAGACAGTACGGTATATCAATCGGATAGTGACACAGTGTTTGCACGACCCGACTTGTGACTTGGCCGTGACGGGGGCGGACCACCAGGAGCTTCGCTCATGGGTACGTTGGGGCTTAGTCCAAGCGGGTCCAACGCCAAACGGCCGGAGGCAAGTAGGCGGTAGACGAATGTGGTCGGAGGTGCGAGCAAGCGTCATGCACGCATATAGAACACAAAACACAAAGGAGGAAGCAGAGGCGCGTCGTCTGCAAAGTTACCATACTTCCTAAAATTCGGATTTTGTCAGAGAGCCTTGTCCGACCTGTTGAAGGCACCTGTCAGGGAGCTTTCGTTCGGACACGTTAGTGTAGAGGGTTTTAACGTAAACCTGTCAGAGAGCCTTGGTCTCACGCCATGGGACCCGACCCGCGTGCGTGCGTGGAGCTGGCCTGGTTCAACCGAAAGTGGACCAGGTGAATGCACCTGTCAGGGAGCTTTCGATCAGTGAACTTCATGACAACAAGCAGCCCGCAACTTGTGGGCGCTAGTGTTTCGTTCTGGCCGCAGAGGACACCCAGGGGCGTCATATCCCAGAAAAGCACCAACCACATCTCTACTAGGTCGGACCAAGTGGCCAGTCCACTGCTGTTCTGCGTCCTCTGTTCAACTGTCTGGAGACAAGAGGCCCCATGCCATACACCTTCCATCGCAGATTCTTGCCCTTTCCTGCAACACCGCGTCTCCAGTCTGTCGATACCATCCTCGCAACACGCGCGTTTTGTGACACATCCGGTCCCCTGTGCACCGCAATCGTTTCGAAACCACTCTAGGTTCCGCACATGTCGCAGCAGCTCGACAAAGAAAAAACAAGTTCAAACAGAGGTGAGCTTGCTCGCTTCCGACGGGTCATGAGTGAGGAGGGCATTGTCGACATGCGTTTCGTATTTTGTGCGGTGAGCTTGCTCGCCTTGAAAGAGTCAACGCCCGTGTACCAGCGCATGACTGAGGTCGCAAAAGAGTCCTGTTCAAAGAAAGGTGAGCTAGGTCGCTTCAGAAGGGTCATGAGTGACGCGGTCCTTGTTTACCTGCGTGGCGTATTTCGACGGTGAGCTGGATCGCCTGTAATATACTAGACGTAGAGGGTGAGCTGATTGTCCTAAGCTTGACGTGTTTGTGTTCCGGTGACAAGACTCTAAGCTGCAACGATCCAACTCCTGGCCAAGGGACTGGATGGAACAGTGGACAGTGGGTCGCACACCTTCGAAGCTGATCCGGCTCAAAAAGCCATGGCCATGCGTCCCAAAGTGAACGCAAGAAACCTGGCTTACGTGGTTCTGTTCTGGCTGAGTACTGTCGCAAGCCTGGTGCTGGCCAGCGATGAACCGCAGCTCACTGTTATCATCAGCTTCCATGTCACCATGTGCATCTTGAATCTCCTGGTGCGCAGAGCCTCGCAGCGAACCATCCCCCGCCTAGGTACAGTGTACAGAGCTCGCATGGTGGGGTCCCAAACCACCGCAGACGGACGTCGAACTCTCGAAGCCTCCGCCGACACCGGCTAGAGACGTGGAACCGCCGGAAACGCAGTGGCCCCACCCAAAGCCGAGCCACCGCCGGCAAGGGGTTTCGCAGATCCGGTTCACGGTCGGACTCCAAACTCGGAAGAGCGGCAACACCTGTAAGCTGGACATTGGTTCGACCTGTTTGCGAGAAGCAGTACCTGCACACTTCGCACCGTCGTTTCCGGGGGGGGGGGTCCTTGCTCGGACGACAAAGCTTGGCTTGCTGGAGTGTTGGCATCACTCCTGGGCGATGAAGCACGGGTGGCCGAAATGATGGCGCAAGACTGGGTGGAAGCTTGGGAAGGCTGGGACGACATGGCCGCAGAAGGCACAGACGCTGTCGCCCTGCAGTGTGCGGAGCGGTTTCTCCACATAGCTGGCGCCGCCGAGCCCCTGCGGCGGCGGTCCGACGACGACCGACTACAGCAACTTGAGACGCAGGGACTTTTTCTGCAGACCGCCGAGTCACATGGAGCGAACAACTGCTTGATCGATTCCTTGTTGTTAGGTTTAACAGCCGCCAACCTAACACCGAATGCCACAAAGTATTCCATGGCGGAACGCAAGCGCATGTGTGCGAGGTGCCGCAAGCACCTGCGTCGCCAGTATGGCACCCCGGTCGGCACTTATCTCGATGGGCACGCAGATGCCCCCCACATTTTAGATTTTTTTCTCCGCCAGGAGTGGCGGCAGGATGTGTCAGTGCGAGTCCATTTCTACGACTGCCTCGATGCTGGGCAAGTGCTGGAGAACCAAGAAGAGCTAGCTTTCGTAGATTACACAGTAGGCACCAGACTGATTTATGACCGCATTAATGTCCATGTCTACAATCATACAACCCCATCCGGCCGAGGGTATCATTTTGACGTGTTAATTCCACAGGATTTGTCGGCAGCGCCCACCGAGGCGGCAGCAAGCCATGAACGCTCTAGATCGCCAGCAAAGGGAACTTCTTCAGGTAGTGTGGCAGCTGTGGGCCCGCTAGAGCGTAGCTCAAGCGAAAGCCAGAGCGTAGCTCAAGGCGGTCCTTTGGAGACAAGTCAGGAGACGGCTGAACAAAGTTCGTCGTCCAAAGATCCACCATCGAAACCTCAGAACCAACCGAACGACCCCCCGGCGGAAGGCCCGTCGGTGTCCAGTGATCCATTGCCAGTGCCAAAAAGACGACGCGGCCCCGGCCAGACTACGGAGGAAGCCGCGACTGTCAGTCCGCCAAGCCCAACGGGTGTAGGGACACGCGGGCATGTCGACCCTTGGCCAACGCCAGCCACGCCTTCGCGCAGTGGCTCCGAGGTCGGTGCCGCAGACACTGACAGTGTTTTGTCTTGGGATTCTCATCAATCAAGTGAAGGTTCTAGTGCAGCCCCTAGCCTCTCCGAAGAAAACCATCGCCACTGGCGCACCTGGGAAGACACAGAAGCCATGGCCATCCGAGACTTGGGGCAACAGTTTCGGACAAAACCTTTGTTACCCCAGCTGAGATGACGGACTTGGCAAACAGTATGTCGGGAATAGCACTGCCAGCATGTCACTGTTCGTTCGAAAACTGCGGTTGGTGCGGTGAAGCTCAGCCATGTGTGGATGCGCTGCTGCCCCCTAATGCTTGGGTCGTGGATGGTGTCAAGTGGCATTGTAGTAGCGGCCAGTGTTGCGCGGACTCGGACAGCTGTTTGTGGGCACATTTGAAGGCCCATCATGCCACAGCTTTTCAGCATTGTCCGGGGGACATTCCTAGTGCTTACGTTGCAGCTTTGCAACACGTGGAAGAACAAGCTGTTCCGGCCGTCGGTTGGAGCGTAGATCGCCGCACGCTGCGACGCCTGCGTCAAGCTAGACAAGAAGACCACTGCGTAGCTTTGATTTGCAGTTGCTGTGCTGCAGTGTTGCCAAGTGGACCACGTAGTGACATCGGCTATCTATCCATCGACGACATTTTCTCTGGACTCACCACCAAGAGTTTTCAAGAAAATTGGGATTTGAAGCAATACAAAACAACATATGGCTTGCACGCCTCCATCCGTGAGCGGTTAAGTGGCCCGGAGTGGCAACGGCGCTTGCCCGAACATCTGTTCCAAGGAGCAAGCATTTTGTGTTGCCCGGAAGATCATCGGTGTTCCAGTTGTCTCCGTGACCCAAGGCAGACTGCAGGTGAGCCAGAGCGTAGCGCAGGCGAGTGCCCGGGTGTAACCCAGGAGCCCGACCCCTACCAGTTTTGCAGCGCTTGCGAACTCCCCTTGCGCCGGAGTTGCTGGTCCCGAATGCGGCAAAAGATGTATGCCGGCGTGCCGCAAGCTCTAACCAACGACAACTGGTATGGGTATCCAGTGGACTTACTTTACACCCACAAAGTCCGCTGGGTGGAAGCGGCCGCAGCGTGTCCCGTTTGGACTTCCATGATCAGTTTTTACTTGGAAGCCGATCGCGGCCATGTGATGGAGGAAACACTCCATCGAGCCGACCAACGCCTGGCCATCCGAGGCAACGTCAGTGCAGTGAGCCTTCCATGGGAACAAATCTACGGCAAGTTCGCAGACATGACGCCCGAGCATCGGCTCGCGATTTTGCCACACGCATTGCCCGCTCTGAAATCCATGATCCACCTGACAGTAAGAGGAATGTTGCACGGCGAAATTTCGGACTGGGTCGCCGGAGCCAGAGTCAGACCTTGGGTAGTCGTCGCTTTGTTAGATCATCTAGTGGACCTCGCCCATCCCATGTTCGAGGGGTACGACGGCACACCGGCCGAACTCAAGGCATTGTTTCGCGCCAAAGTCAACCAGCAATACGGAGAAGATGAGTTTCCGGCCGTAACCCTAGCGGAAGTTGATAAAGCACCTACCCACCATAACCCATCGCCACCGCAGACTAAACACGCCACCCCAGAACCTGCCGGAGTCGCTGATTTCAACGGTGAAGCCTTTCAAGGCAATGTCCGACCGCAAGTGTTGTCGCCCGACTGGAGTACTGATCAAAGTGCAGACCTTACCGCTCAGGAAGTCACTCGGTTGGCCGTTGGCACGCCGCAGGTCACGGTCCAAACCGGGCACGAATTCTGGGATCAATGGCAGCCGAAATACTTGAGTTGGGCATTTCCTTTTAGTTTGCCGGCTCCAGTTGGGGGGCCAGATTACCCGAACAAAGACCGGTGGAGGCGTAGCACCGACGCCGCAATGCTCGGCCCACTCGCCCACTTACGCTCACTCACCCGGAGAGTGGAAAGTTCCATTCACAATTCTTGGGATTTGGTGTCGGGACTTCGACGCTTAACATTCAAGTGGCATTCGGTGTGGAACACACCCCTGTGGCGAAAACACAAACCCAAAGCGGAATTGTTGGAGACCACTCCGGTGCACGAATGGGTGCAAGCAGCAAAAGCACTGTACCACAAACTGCAGAAGGGAACCTATCTTACAGCAGGTAATCACATCAAGCCCATCAACTACGATGCTCGTAAGCTTTGGTTTGCCTCCAACCTGACCCAACCCGAAATTCAGCTTCTACGTGACATTCGGCAGACGCAACAGCTGTTGCCGGGCACCGTCGAAGTTCGTCGCCGCATCGGCCGGTTTTTGTTTGGGGCCAGGGTTCAACTCGGAGAACCGATTTTCATTACCGTGTCACCCACGACACGCCGCAATGCAGTCTGTTTAAAAATGTCTCGGTATCGAGCCAATGACCCCGGCGCCGGACACTATTGCGCCAAAGATGACCCTAAGGTGTGGGAGGACACCGCCGTCACGATCCCGGTGCCGGACTACGAGACACGACGCTGCAGCGCCGTTCGAGATCCATGGTGCGTAGACATTGCCTTTCAGAGCATGATTCGGTTTGTGTTCGCAGAGCTCTTAGGGGTCCGCATGTGTTTCAAGTGCCCGCAATGCACTTGCCGTGACATGTTAGAACACCCGTCTCATCCTATGGGGGGGGTTCTTGGTCTGGTGCTTGGATTTTGTGGCGCCATCGAGTATCAACAAAATAGTACACCCCACTTTCACGCCAACGTCTACGTGGCGAGCGTCTGGCAACACCCCTTGAAAGTTCTTGCTGCCAAGTTGCAAGCAAAGGCCGTGTCGCTCGGAGAAATATTTGAGTACCAGCAGTGGCTGCATAATGAAAGCCACTTGAACTTGGAGCAGCACGTCGCGCTAGAGCCGGACCTTGACGCAGAGTGGAAGCAGAATTTCGTTGGCAAGCAGCATGACAAGCTTTGCCTTTGGCCTGCTTTTGTTGCCGCGGACACCGAGCCATCACCTTGGACAGCCCCGTCGTCCCACTCCGAAACCCTGTTGAGAGATGCAACGACATATCGAACCAAGTATGCGTCCGCAGTGCAAGAACGCCTCTCGCACCAGCAGCATCACATTCATCTCTGGGATCCGAAACATAAATGTGCCGTGCCATTACCCGGGTGTCGCAAAAAAAACGCCCCCAACAAATGCAAGCATGGATTCCCAAAAGCTCTGTGCGACACCGCCCGAGTGATCTGCCGCGGTAACGCTCGGCAGTTCCGACAAAGTACGGCCGGCCGCCGAAACGGATTGGGTTGTGTGTTGAACCCTCGAGATTCGCCATGGTTGTCGGGCACGATGCATGCCTTTTCGCTCATGTTGCTCGGAAATAGCCACGCAGGGGTCAACTTCCGTGTGCCGTTACTGCCAGAGACGCACGACCCGGCGTGCGCTCGGGGCTGCCTCCGACACGGGACTTTGCGGCGACTGCAACGCCTGATGCAGCACGCCGCCAGGAAATCCACCCAGTATTTCACGGGATACCTGCAGAAGCCGCAACCCATCGGCAAAAAAGAGCTACAGCAAGCCGCCAAGCACCTCTCGTTCTTAGACGTCACCCCGACCAAAGGGGCGGAGGCGCAACAGTACCGCAGAGTACTCCAAAGGATCTGTGGCGACTTGGAGTTCAGGTGCTCCGTGCGGCCTCTGACAGAAGAGACAATGTTGGCAGGATTCTGGGATGGGGAAGAAGTTACGTCCGCGGAGTGCATTCGGTCCTTTGCCGTCGTCCCGTTCGTGGGCTCGGCCTGGCTAGCCCAGGTCGATCGCCGCACCGAGGTGCGGGCCCAAGTCAAGCAGCTCCAACACCGGCACGCCGTGCTGAGCACAGCCGAGGTGTACGGCTGGCGCGGCAAAGACCACCGGTTGTACTACTTAAGTCCTTGGGAATTCACAAGTTTGTGGGAGGTACAACGCCTGCAACCGCCACGAGACGAACCCTCAGACTTGAGCATGTGGGTCCCTGGACAGCCTGTCGACCCACCGCCCATTGATGGCTTTCAGTTCGGTCGGGATTTTGTGTGGAAACACCAGGCCCAGAGACGCAGCGCGACTTGGTGCGCTTGCCGGTTCGGGTGGCCACGACAGCCGCCGCGGATCATTACTTGGTCCGCCGGCCAGCACCCTTGGTTCCATATCCGACCGCAGCACCTCTCCCCAAAGCGGACATGGCCAAGGCAGACCAATGCCGCATTTTGAACGTGTACCTGCGTCCCTGGACAGCAGCCCCGGAAGATGCAACTTGGCATGCGCCGCATTTTGCGGCCTTGGACACACCCATATCGGACATGCAACAACAACCCGGTCGTCGGTGTCGGAACAAGACCCACCTCGGCCAACGGTGTCATGCTGCAGCTTGGGGCGATTATATTCGGAATCACATCGTGTCCACACACGCAAAACGCCTGATCAACAACTTTTTGGCAGCGGCCGATTGCACTCCCGAAGAGCCCGAAGACAACCTGGAGTGCACGGCCGCCCTTCCGGGGCACGACGTGGACATCAGTTGGGTGGATCTGACCACCGTGCAACGCCTGACAGCAGGCCACGGTTTCCAATGTTCGAAACGCTCCGAGCCAACCGTGCAGAACCTTGTGCAACAGTGGACGCCCGCCGCCCGACTGTGCAGGCCTCGATCCCAGCCAGGTTAGGAACAGGTGTGTCGGCATCCCCGATCCCGGCCAAGCTCCGACTGTACCAGTCGCTCCTAATAGGCCCAACCCTAATAGACCACCCCCGAACGTAGAAGTAAGTTATGCACAGTTCAGTGCCCACACAGCTCGTACCTGGCTGCAGACCCTCCAAAGCAGCACGACTCGACCGACACCCAGCCGAGAACAGACCCAGTGTTTGCAAGCCATTCTGGAACGCTGCATTGTGGAGCACCAAGAAGAGCGGCAGAACGCACCACAGCGTTCCGAGCCGTTTCGTGCAATCTTGCATGGCGTGCCCGGAGCCGGCAAATCACAGACCTTGAAATGGCTTCGTGTCTTTTTCGAAAGCATTTGCCATTGGTCCCATCCGCAAGACTTTGCTTTCGTCGCTCCGCAAAATACTCAGGCCGCTTTGATTGAGGGCATCACCCTCCACTCGTTCGCTGACATGCGGGTCAAGGGCGCCAAACAGAAGCCCGACCCCCACGCGAGCATGCAGCGATTTGTCAAGTTCCAGCGACTTCGGTGGCTGATCATTGACGAGTGCAGCACGGCGGCGTTGGAAGTTTTGGCGGCCCTGGAAAAGCACTTGCAGGACGGAGTGCGGCCCAAGAATTCTTGGAAATGTCGCAAGTCCGGAGTGGCGCGGCCCTTTGCTGGCCTCAACGTTTTGCTTGCTGGAGACTGTTGGCAGTTCCCCGCCGTAAAAGCCACCAGCCTTTTCCAAAATCCTTTCAAAAGCGGCCAAAGCCTGGCCGTGGCCGCCCTGCAAAAGATTTTGTGGACGCACAACCAAAACAACGTGCAGCACCTCTTCGAATTAACCCAAGAACACCGCTGCACGGATCCATGGTTGAGCGTTATCTTGAAAGCGGCGCGGCGCGGAGCCGTAGACCAGGAACTGTGGTCCTTCTTGCACGGCTATCCCACGGTCCACCCCGGATCGTGGCACCCCGCCACCGACACCTGCGGCTGCAAAAATCCGACCTGTGAGGGTTTACCTAAGATTTGGACACAGGAGGTTTTGCACGGAAACGACGCCCGTACTTGGGCAGCTCGCCTCGGCGACGAGTGCAATGTCTGCTCAGCCGAGCGGCGGCGGCGTTGCATCGTCGCCGAGGCAAGCGACTTCGGACCGAACCCAAAAGACCCCAAATTTTTGCATGCCCCGTTTATCCATAGTTTCAACGCGGCCAAATACGTTGCAGCCTTGCTTCGGGCTCGGTGGGTGGCAGCCGAACAGAACCAGCTTCTGCTCTGGGCGGTGGCACAGGACACCCCCTGTTCCACACCGCTCCAGAAACCGACGCGCGCGAACTTCGGCGTCGAAAAGAAAACTGGCTGCAGAGGCACGATCAATCGTCAATTGACAGGAGGCATAATGGGACTCTTGCCCTTGTTGCCGAACATGCCGGTGCGGATCACCCAAACGTTGCCGGAACTCAAGCCTTTTGGTCTTTTCAAAAATACACGCGGGCAGCTTTACAACTGGACATTGCACCCCGAGGACGCGGCAGCAATCCAGACTTGCACCGACTCCGACTGGGTTCTGCGCCACCTGCCCACGTGCATTTTCGTGGCCATCCCAGGCGCCACATGGCAGCACCGCCCAGGCCTGCCAGCGGGCGTAGCCTGCATCCGACCGGGAGTCCAGCACTGGCAGCTCGAAGCACACGGACAAGCCACGGTTGCACGCAAGGGATTCCCCATTGCGTGCGACTACGCGGGGACCGCCCATTCGTTTATGGGGGCTACGTTGGCTGCTTGTAGTCTAGACCTGGGGTTCTGGGATTCCTCTGCCTCTCGAAACTCGCAGCTCAGTGCGTACATGTGCTTAAGCCGAGTCAAAAGAGCCGACGACGTCTGCATCACCCGCACCTTTTCCCCTAACCTACTAAGTCAAGGTGAATTAATAGGTCCCGAAACATTTTTGCAGGTGCATCGGCAAAAATTGACCCTGAACGAAGCCAAGAGTACGTTTGAAAAGGATCAGGCGCAGCGCAAACGCAACACCGAAACCCTTTTGTTTTGTCGTGGTTGCAGTCCCAAAGCCCAAGGCAACCAAGGGTTGCTGCCGATCCGGGAGTTCGCCCGCAACAACACTTGGGATCCAGAGGGTTGGTACGCCATAGTGCAACTCGGCATGGAACGTTTGTGCAATCAATGCCGTGAGAGTCTAAAACCGCACCCCCAGACCGCGCAAGAAGGGGATCAACCAGTTGGAGCCGAGGAACCGGGTGTTCCGTGTCCCTTTTGCACCGTGACCAAACTGCCTAAACTCGGTTTTCGTTAAAAGCGCTTGGCCACAGAGCGCTTGGCTTGCGCCAAATGCGATGTCGGAATGAAGTTGAAACTCAAAACCCTAGCTGCCTTCAGCCCCGAAGAGATCCAACGAAGAAAGCGCACCAAAGAGCTTCGGAGAGCGCGCTGCGTAGAATGCGCATTGCTCCGACCCAATGTGGCGAAAGGCAATGTGGGGCACTGCGACCTGTGTCAAAAATCGATCAGTGTGTCGCATTTCCACAAATACGAGGCCGCCTCAAAAACCGGTATTTGCCGCAGGTGCGCACAGAAAGCCGCAGAACTCAAGGAAGCCGCAGCAAAAGTGTGTCCACAGTGCAGCCAGCCTTTGCACGCCGCGGCCACGCCGGGGACGTGGTGTCAGAAATGTGCGTATCCACCGTGTGTCGGTTGCAAGCAAGTGGAGCGTTCCAAAAAAGGTGCCAACCACGCCAAGCATCGCCCCTTTTGGCGTTGCGAAAAGTGTGCCGCGCAAGTGTGTACCAAGTGCGCAAAGCAATCCGTGGGTAGGCCGGGCCAGACGCAGTGTGTCCGCAGTGCCAGCCGAACAAGTTTTGCCCCCAGTGCACGGCGCCCATGCCTGCAGCGGCGCACCTCGGTTCGTGGTGCCACGCTTGTACCTACCCTCCATGCGCCGGCGGCTGCGGCGCACCGCGCCCACCTAAAAGCGCCAA